ATTGAAGTTAACAAGTGAAAGAGTGTGTTTACCTGGCTGTAGAAAATACTTTGTGCCTTGCTGCAGGGCAAAGCAAGGAGAGACCTGGGAAAAAATACAATTGGCTCCTCCGGGGGTAGTGCTACACTATTTTTTCCTGATTATAGAAACTCAAAGTATGCACAGGTTTTAATACAAAAAAAACCTGCTGTTGTAATGTATCAATCAGTGGGAGAAACTACAGGGCATGGCAGGGGACCTACCCATAAGTGCTGGATGTTAAGATTGCTTGGGTGGCTTAGCTGTGCAGCAGTAGAGAGGGTCAGTATGAAGTCACTTCTATTACAGGAGCTGCTTGGTTTACATTTAAAGTGTAGAGATAGGGTGGCTTTTAGAGATGGGTGAATGTGCTTGTGTTTGATATGCCAAGAGTTCTGCAAATTCTTTTTGAGAGTCATAGAATCCAAATTTTGAGGCAAATCCCATAGAAGTTTATGGAGAGTGTATCCTGTTAGTAGATTCTGAATGTTTTTCAGAGCTAAGAACTTGTTTACACCATATGCAGCTGGACACACATGTCAATTCAACTCGAAAAATAAATATGTACAAATATGTAAAAATAATGCCAAAAATACACACAAACATTACAAATCAATGTAAATTTTTAATGTTTGCCAGCAGCAGGTCATTTTTATTGAGACGAATTGGCCACAATGTACTAAAGAAAGAACACAGGTAAGTGTTTTACTATGTGTACGAGGTGGTATCAAAATGGTTCGAGACTAGTTTTGTAACACGCCAACAGATGGCAGCACAAGCGTCTGCACACAGTCACAGGAAGCACCAACCTTCATAAGTCAGTGTGCCAAAAGACATCACATCTGCTACTTCATCACATCTGCCACAGAGACGTTTAACATGATTCTGCAGGTTTATGGAGATGCTGCAATGAGTTGTTCGAGGTGTTTTGAGTGGCATGCCCACTTCAAGAGAGGAAGAACATCACTGGAAGAAGAACATCACTCCCCTAACATTAAGAAATACCCCCTTCCAGCGTACCTCCTCAGTACAGACCCTCCCAACCCAACTCCCTCTTCAACACAGACAGACCGCTTCCCCCTCTCCAGCACAGACCCTCAAAACAGACTGACCCCCGCCCACCACAAACTGCTCAGTACAGATGGACCCATCCCCCACCACACACCCCTAAGTAAAAAACCAACTTACCCAGCACAGACCTCCCAGCACAAATTAACCCCTCACTCCCCCCTCAGCCCCCTCAACACAGACTGACACCTCTCAACACAGACCACCAACCCCCAGCAAAGACTGACCCCCCAGTACAGACCCCTCAACACAGACTGTCACCTTCCAGCACAAACTGACCTAACCAGTACAGACCCCTCAGCACAGACTGACACTCCCCAGCACAGACCGACCCCCAGTACAAACTCCTCAGCACAGACTGACCCCCCCAGCGCAGACCCCACGGCACAGACTGACGCCCCCAGTAAAGACCTATCAGCACAGACTGCCCTCCATCACAGACCGTCCAGAAGAGACTGACCCCCAGCACAGATCCCTTTGATGGACTGTGAATCTCAAACCTGCAGGATTTGCCACAAACCCATGGTAGTGGTGAATCCAAACCTTATCCCTATCTTTACTGCGGTGTGAACCTACACTGGGGTATCTGGAGAGATTTTTTGAAAAGCATGAGACAGTAGTTAGCAGGGGTTACACCCAGAAATCACTAGCAGGGGTTGCACCCATAAAACACTGTGGCATAGGTTGCAACAACATCCTTGCCACAACATCCATATATGTAAACAGGTTCCAGAAAAGGTGCATAGGAGAATAATATGCTGTGGCGGGGGATGTCCCCATGTCAGAGGCAAGAACGTAGTAACCCCAAACATGATATTTGATCTTACACCGTGGTCATCTCTGAGGCAGTTGAGGGCTCAGCCAGCCATTTGGACCATACCTTGTCGTATTTCTTGTGGCAGCCTCTATTTATTAATGTACCCTTATATAGTGGTAAACTATTATTCACTAATTGTTTCCAGCACTAGAGAGTTGGGGAGTAGATTTTTTCCACTGCAACACTGAGCTTTCTAGCATGTCCCTCGCTGTCCCTCTCCTCATTTGAAGTTCACTGTATTTGTCTATTCTCTCCAATTTCTTTAAGAATTGCTGTGATCTATCGGCCTCCTGGACCGATATCAACCTTCCTTCATGACTAGAGATGAGCGAATTATTCAAAAATTCGATTCGGCTGATTCGGCGAATTCGCGGAATAAATTCGATTCGAGTCGAATATATTCGCTGCGAATTTAACTTATAAAAAGGGTGTTTCTAGGCTTCAGAGAGCCTTTATATTAGTGCAGAACACTGTACCTTTAATTTAAATGCCCTTGGAGTCTGCTGGGGAAGAGAAATAATACTGTCAGTCAGTATGACATGCAGATGAGTGCCGTCGATCTTAGAATCACCGCACACTTCACTCATTTGGGCAGTCACGGGGGGGCAAAACCAGAGTGTGGAGCCACAGTGTGGCGGTGGAGGCAGCAGCAATGGGAGGCCATACAGCACCCTATGAAAAAATGGAACCCACCAGCAGTGTGAGGAGACCTGAAAGTGGCACATGGCAGAGTGTGGCGATGGAGACAGCAGCAATGGGAGACCGTACAGGGACCCATGACACACTCTGGACCTGGCAGCAGCATGAGGAGGCGGTACAGGGGCCCATGACAGATTACAGGCCTGGCAGCAGCATGAGGAGTCGGTACGGGGGCCCATGGCAGATTACGGGCCTGGCAGCAGCAATGGGAGGCCCGTAATCTGCCAGCACCCTATGACAAAATGGAACCCACCAGCAGTGTGAGGAAACCTGAAAGTGGCACATGGCAGAGTGTGGCGATGGAGACAGCAGCAATGGGAGAGGCCGTACAGGGACCCATGACACACTCTGGACCTGGCAGCAGCATGAGGAGGCGGTACAGGGGCCCATGACAGATTACGGGCCTGGCAGCAGCATGAGGAGTCGGTACGGGGGCCCATGGCAGATTACGGGCCTGGCAGCAGCAATGGGAGGCCCGTAATCTGCCAGCACCCTATGACAAAATGGAACCCACCAGCAGTGTGAGGAGACCTGAAAGTGGCACATGGCAGAGTGTGGCGATGGAGACAGCAGCAATGGGAGGCCGTACAGGGACCCATGACACACTCTGGACCTGGCAGCAGCATGAGGAGGCAGTACAGGGGCCCATGACAGATTACGGGCCTGGCAGCAGCATGAGGAGTCGGTACGGGGGCCCATGGCAGATTACGGGCCTGGCAGCAGCAATGGGAGGCCGTACAGGGACCCATGACACACACTCTGGACCTAGCAGCAGCATGAGGAGGCGGTACAGGGGCCCATGACAGATTACGGGCCTGGCAGCAGCATGAGGAGTCGGTACGGGGGCCCATGGCAGATTACGGGCCTGGCAGCAGCAATGGGAGGCCCGTAATCTGCCAGCACCCTATGACAAAATGGAACCCACCAGCAGTGTGAGGAGACCTGAAAGTGGCACATGGCAGAGTGTGGCGATGGAGACAGCAGCAATGGGAGGCCGTACAGGGACCCATGACACACTCTGGACCTGGCAGCAGCATGAGGAGGCGGTACAGGGGCCCATGACAGATTACGGGCCTGGCAGCAGCATGAGGAGTCGGTACGGGGGCCCATGGCAGATTACGGGCCTGGCAGCAGCAATGGGAGGCCGTACAGGGACCCATGACACACTCTGGACCTGGCAGCAGCATGAGGAGGCGGTACAGGGGCCCATGACAGATTACGGGCCTGGCAGCAGCATGAGGAGTCGGTACGGGGGCCCATGGCAGATTACGGGCCTGGCAGCAGCAATGGGAGGCCCGTAATCTGCCAGCACCCTATGACAAAATGGAACCCACCAGCAGTGTGAGGAGACCTGAAAGTGGCACATGGCAGAGTGTGGCGATGGAGACAGCAGCAATGGGAGGCCGTACAGGGACCCATGACACACTCTGGACCTGGCAGCAGCATGAGGAGGCGGTACAGGGGCCCATGACAGATTACGGGCCTGGCAGCAGCATGAGGAGTCGGTACGGGGGCCCATGGCAGATTACGGGCCTGGCAGCAGCAATGGGAGGCCGTACAGGGACCCATGACACACTCTGGACCTGGCAGCAGCATGAGGAGGCGGTACAGGGGCCCATGACAGATTACGGGCCTGGCAGCAGCATGAGGAGTCGGTACGGGGGCCCATGGCAGATTACGGGCCTGGCAGCAGCAATGGGAGGCCCGTAATCTGCCAGCACCCTATGACAAAATGGAACCCACCAGCAGTGTGAGGAGACCTGAAAGTGGCACATGGCAGAGTGTGGCGATGGAGACAGCAGCAATGGGGGCCGTACAGGGACCCATGACACACTCTGGACCTGGCAGCAGCATGAGGAGGCGGTACAGGGGCCCATTACAGATTACGGGCCTGGCAGCAGCATGAGGAGTCGGTACGGGGGCCCATGGCAGATTACGGGCCTGGCAGCAGCAATGGGAGGCCATACAGGGACCCATGACACACTCTGGACCTGGCAGCAGCATGAGGAGGCGGTACAGGGGCCCATGACAGATTACGGGCCTGGCAGCAGCATGAGGAGTCGGTACGGGGGCCCATGGCAGATTACGGGCCTGGCAGCAGCAATGGGAGGCCCGTAATCTGCCAGCACCCTATGACAAAATGGAACCCACCAGCAGTGTGAGGAGACCTGAAAGTGGCACATGGCAGAGTGTGGCGATGGAAACAGCAGCAATGGGAGGCCGTACAGGGACCCATGACACACTCTGGACCTGGCAGCAGCATGAGGAGGCGGTACAGGGGCCCATGACAGATTATGGGCCTGGCAGCAGCATGAGGAGTCGGTACGGGGGCCCATGGCAGATTACGGGCCTGGCAGCAGCAATGGGAGGCCGTACAGGGACCCATGACACACTCTGGACTGGCAGCAGCATGAGGAGGCGGTACTGGGGCCCATGACAGATTACGGGCCTGGCAGCAGCATGAGGAGTCGGTACGGGGGCCCATGGCAGATTACAGGCCTGGCAGCAGCAATGGGAGGCCCGTAATCGGCCAGCACCCTATGACAAAATTGGAACCCACCAGCAGTGTGAGGAGACCTGAAAGTGGCACATGGCAGAGTGTGGCGATGGAGACAGCAGCAATGGGAGGCCGTACAGGGACCCATGACACACTCTGGACCTGGCAGCAGCATGAGGAGGCGGTACAGGGGCCCATGACAGATTACGGGCCTGGCAGCAGCATGAGGAGTCGGTACGGGGGCCCATGGCAGATTACGGGCCTGGCAGCAGCAATGGGAGGCCGTACAGGGACCCATGACACACTCTGGACCTGGCAGCAGCATGAGGAGGCGGTACAGGGGCCCATGACAGATTACGGGCCTGGCAGCAGCATGAGGAGTCGGTACGGGGGCCCATGGCAGATTACGAGCCTGGCAGCAGCAATGGGAGGCCCGTAATCTGCCAGCACCCTATGACAAAATGGAACCCACCAGCAGTGTGAGGAGACTGAAAGTGGCACATGGCAGAGTGTGGCGATGGAGACAGCAGCAATGGGAGGCCGTACAGGGACCCATGACACACTCTGGACCTGGCAGCAGCATGAGGAGGCGGTACAGGGGCCCATGACAGATTACGGGCCTGGCAGCAGCATGAGGAGTTGGTACGGGGGCCCATGGCAGATTACGGGCCTGGCAGCAGCAATGGGAGGCCCGTAATCTGCCAGCACCCTATGACAAAATGGAACCCACCAGCAGTGTGAGGAGACCTGAAAGTGGCACATGGCAGAGTGTGGCGATGGAGACAGCAGCAATGGGAGGCCGTACAGGGACCCATGACACACTCTGGACCTGGCAGCAGCATGAGGAGGCGGTACAGGGGCCCATGACAGATTACGGGCCTGGCAGCAGCATGAGGAGTCGGACGGGGGCCCATGGCAGATTACGGGCCTGGCAGCAGCAATGGGAGGCCGTACAGGGACCCATGACACACCCTGGACCTGGCAGCAGCATGAGGAGGCGGTACAGGGGCCCATGACAGATTACGGGCCTGGCAGCAGCATGAGGAGTCGGTACGGGGGCCCATGGCAGATTACAGGCCTGGCAGCAGCAATGGGAGGCCCGTAATCTGCCAGCACCCTATGACAAAATGGAACCCACCAGCAGTGTGAGGAGACCTGAAAGTGGCACATGGCAGAGTGTGGCGATGGAGACAGCAGCAATGGGAGGCCGTACAGGGACCCATGACACACTGTGGACCTGGCAGCAGCATGAGGAGGCGGTACAGGGGCCCATGACAGATTACGGGCCTGGCAGCAGCATGAGGAGTCGGTACGGGGGTCCATGGCAGATTACGGGCCTGGCAGCAGCAATGGGAGGCCGTACAGGGACCCATGACACACTCTGGACCTGGCAGCAGCATGAGGAGGCGGTACAGGGGCCCATGACAGATTAGGGGCCTGGCAGCAGCATGAGGAGTCGGTACGGGGGCCCATGGCAGATTACAGGCCTGGCAGCAGCAATGGGAGGCCCGTAATCTGCCAGCACCCTATGACAAAATGGAACCCACCAGCAGTGTGAGGAGACCTGAAAGTGGCACATGGCAGAGTGTGGCGATGGAGACAGCAGCAATGGGAGGCCGTACAGGGACCCATGACACACTCTGGACCTGGCAGCAGCATGAGGAGGCGGTACAGGGGCCCATGACAGATTACGGGCCTGGCAGCAGCATGAGGAGTCGGTACGGGGGCCCATGGCAGATTACAGGCCTGGCAGCAGCAATGGGAGGCCGTACAGGGACCCATGACACACTCTGGACCTGGCAGCAGCATGAGGAGGCGGTACAGGGGCCCATGACAGATTACGGGCCTGGCAGCAGCATGAGGAGTCGGTACGGGGGCCCATGGCAGATTACGGGCCTGGCAGCAGCAATGGGAGGCCCGTAATCTGCCAGCACCCTATGACAAAATGGAACCCACCAGCAGTGTGAGGAGACCTGAAAGTGGCACATGGCAGAGTGTGGCGATGGAGACAGCAGCAATGGGAGGCCGTACAGGGACCCATGACACACTCTGGACCTGGCAGCAGCATGAGGAGGCGGTACAGGGGCCCATGACAGATTACGGGCCTGGCAGCAGCATGAGGAGTCGGTACGGGGGCCCATGGCAGATTACGGGCCTGGCAGCAGCAATGGGAGGCCCGTAATCTGCCAGCACCCTATGACAAAATGGAACCCACCAGCAGTGTGAGGAGACCTGAAAGTGGCACATGGCAGAGTGTGGCGATGGAGACAGCAGCAATGGGAGGCCGTACAGGGACCCATGACACACTCTGGACCTGGCAGCAGCATGAGGAGGCGGTACAGGGGCCCATGACAGATTACGGGCCTGGCAGCAGCATGAGGAGTCGGTACGGGGGCCCATGGCAGATTACGGGCCTGGCAGGCAGATGACGACGAGGCTGCCAAGTGCGATCAGCCTCATCATCATCAATTAGGGTCTCCGCCTCACTACTAGCCCCCTCGGCTGCGTGTGGGTCAGGAGACAGACCTGTCTCTAGACCGGCTACCGAGCCACTCTCCTCGCCAGTACTTCTTCGCCTGGCTGCTGAAGAGGCGGATGTCTCCCCCCGTTCCTGACCGCCCTCTGTTAGCTCTTCCTCACTGTACAGTGGGGCTGAGCCCACAGCATGCGATACTTCGCTTGGTGAGGGAACACCAAAGGACAGGGGCAGGTAGAGGACACGTGATTTCATTGGGCTTGCTCCCGGGCCATGCCAACTAACGGTTGTGTCTGACGTACCCACCGACCGTTGGCTGTAGGTGTCAGAGGTGACCTGGGAAGAGGAAGACGACCGAGCCAACCAATCGATGACGGCAGGGTTGTCGTTGGAGACACGACCGCTGGATGACACCGGGAGCACTGGCCTCTGGCTGCGACTAGTGCTGCCTCGACCCCTTCCTCTGCTGCCACGTCTGCTCGCTCCTGAAACATTGCCTCCTCTGCCACTCCTCTGCGTGTTGTCTGACATACTCTTAAATTCAACGATTCTGTGTCCCTGAGTAACGATTCTGTGTCCCTGAGTAACAATTCTGTGTCCCTGAGTAACAATTCTGTGTCCCTGAGTAACAATTCTGTGTCTGTCCCTGAGTAACAATTCTGTGTCCCTGAGTAACAATTCTGTGTCCCTGAGTAACAATTCTGTGTCCCTCAGTAACGATTCTGTGTCCCTCAGTAACAATTCTGTGTCCCTGAGTAACAATTCTGTGTCCCTGAGTAACAATTCTGTGTCTGTCCCTGAGTAACAATTCTGTGTCTGTCCCTGAGTAACAATTCTGTGTCCCTGAGTAACAATTCTGTGTCCCTGAGTAACAATTCTGTGTCCCTCAGTAACGATTCTGTGTCCCTCAGTAACCATTCTGTGTCCCTGAGTAACAATTCTGTGTCCCTGAGTAACGATTCTGTGTCCCTGAGTAACGATTCTGTGTCCCTGAGTAACAATTCTGTGTCCCTGAGTAACGATTCTGTGTCCCTGAGTAACGATTCTGTGTCCCTCAGTAACAATTCTGTGTCCCTGAGTAACGATTCTGTGTCCCTGAGTAACAATTCTGTGTCCCTCAGTAACAATTCTGTGTCCCTGAGTAACAATTCTGTGTCCCTGAGTAACGATTCTGTGTCCCTCAGTAACAATTCTGTGTCCCCGAGTAACAATTCTGTGTCCCTGAGTAACAATTCTGTCTCCCCCTGAGTAACGATTTCTGTGTCCCTCAGTAACAATTCTGTGTCCCTGCCAATTCTGTGTAACAACAATTCTGTGTCCCTGAGTAACAATTCTGTGTCTGTCCCTGAGTAACAATTCTGTGTGTCCCTGAGTAACAATTCTGTGTCCCTGAGTAACAATTCTGTGTCCCTGAGTAACAATTCTGTGTGTCCCTGAGTAACAATTCTGTGTCCCTGAGTAACAATTCTGTGTCCCTGAGTAACGATTCTGTGTCCCTCAGTAACAATTCTGTGTCCCTGAGTAACAATTCTGTGTCTGTCCCTGAGTAACAATTCTGTGTCTGTCCCTGAGTAACAATTCTGTGTCCCTGAGTAACAATTCTGTGTCCCTGAGTAACGATTCTGTGTCCCTAAGTAACGATTCTGTGTCCCTAAGTAACGATTCTGTGGCCCTAAAGTCTCTCTGGCCCTAACTCTGTCCCTAATACAGACAGGTCTGTCTCTCTTGAATGACCGGAGGCTAATGGAGAATGGTAAGATGGCCGCAATTTATAGCTCCACCATTACACAGTGCTGGCTGGCTCGCTGCTGATTGGCTAATGCGATCACATGTCATGAATGAATGCATTATGGGTCAGCGCGCCTTGTCTGCGTGCCTTCCCAGAGATCCCCGCTCCGTCGCCACATATGTCGCCGCCATTTTTGGGAAAATTCGATTCGTGCATCCGAAGTTTGCTAATTTTCGGATTCGGCGCGAATCGAATTTTTCCTGATCTTCGAAACGAATTCCACTTCGCCATGTTCGATTCGCTCATCTCTATTCATGACATCTGTGCCTGGCTGCCTTAGTTTCTCTTTTCAGAAATTCCCACAATCATTCTCCATGACTTCAACGTCCCTGTTAATCTTAACACTCCTGCTAATTCTAAACTTCTGAGCCTAACCACTTTTTTTGACCTAAAACAATGAACTCACTCTAATGGTAACTGCCTTGACCTTATATTCTCCTACCTATGCACTCATTGCAACCTCGCCAACTTTCTTTTTCCTCTCTTTGATCACTCCCTTATTAGCTTCACTCTCTCCTTGGCCTCCTCCTCCTTGTCTTCCAGCTAACAAACAATTACGCATAGAAACCTTCGCTATCTTAACCTTTCTGTTCTTTTTTTCTGAAACAGATTGCCTCTATGACAAAATCTGGACACATTGGCTCCTATCACTACACACAGAATTAGGCCTCTACCACTACAGCCCTGGAAAACAGATAATACCAGATGCCTCAAAAAACGTGGCCATGCTCTTGAACAATTATGGTGTAAGACTAAGACCCAGCAAGACTTCAACCAATATAAATCTGCCCTTCAAAAATACAATTCTTGTCTCCACACTGTCAAACAGACCTATTTTACCACTCTCGTTAGCACCCTCTCATTCAGTCCCTGTCAACTTTTTTCTACCTTTAGCTCTCTACTTCATCCTTCTTTACCTCCACCCACTAACTCACTCACTGCCCAGGAGATCACTAATCACTTCAAAAATAAGCTTGATACAATTCGTGACTCCACTGTACAGATATCTCTCTCACCCTACACTCATTGTCCACCTGCACAATCTATACTTCCCTTGTTTAACCCAGTTACTATAGAGGAGGTTGGTAAGCTTTTTTTGAAAACTCACCTAACCACCTGTCCCCTGGACCCTGTTCCCTTGCAAATACTACGATCACCATCTGGCTCTATCCTTCACTCTTTAACTCATATCTTCAATCTCTTTCTTTTTACTGGCATCTTCCCCAACTCTCTAAAACATGCGCTAGTCACCCCCATACTTAACAAAGGGCTCACTGGACCCCACCAATCATAGCAACCTAAGACCCAACTCCTTACTCCCTTTTGCCTCCAAACTCCTTGAACGTCTAGTCTACAACCGCCTGAGCTGCCACCTCATTGAGAATAACCTTTTCGATCCCCTTCAGTCTGGATTTCGCCCACAACACTCCACAGAAACTGCTCTCCTAAAACTCACAAACGACTTACTAACCGCTAAAACGAATGGTCACTATTCTGTACTCTTACTCTTGGTTCTCTCCGCCGCCTTTGACACAGTTGACCACCCCCTCCTCCTCATAAATCTCTATTTACCTGGTCTCCATGACTGTACTCTCCATTGGTTCAAATCTTACCTATCTCACCGCACCTTCAGTGTCATTTACAATTCTACTTCCTGCTCTCCTACTCCTCTTACCATCGGGGTCCCCCAAGGTTCTGTCCTTGGACCTTTCCTATTCTCGATCTACGCTTATATCTTGGGTCAGCTGATAGCTTCCCATGGTTTCCAATACCATTTCTATGCTAATGACACACAAATCTATCTCTCTACTCCTCAGCTCACCCCATCAGTTTCCTCACGTATCACCGATTTACTCACAGACATATCAGACTGGATGTCACACCACTCCCTAAAACTTAATCTATCCAAAACTGAGCTCATAATATTTCCTCTCACACTTGCCTCTTCCCCTGGTTTCTCAGTCAGGAGCAATAGCACCACTATCAATCTTTTCAGGCCCACATCCAATTCCTGTTCAAATCATGCCACCTCAACATCTCCAAAATATGCCCCTTTTTAACCAATGATACCACAAAACTCCTAATTCACTCCCTGGTTATCTCTCGCCTTGACTACTGCAACTCCTTCCTCATTGGCTTACCTTTACATAGGCTATCC